TTGAGCCAGATAAAGCTTTATTTTGGTGGTATTTATTCACCGCTGGGATTTTTATTTTTTTTTACTATGTAAATGAAAAAGTCCAAAAATTTTGAAAAAAAGTGTTTTTTTAAATAGAATTTTGCAAATAAATAATATTTCATCCTAAATCTTGGCCAAAATTTATTCCGTTATTTTTTTAGTAAAAAAAAAAATCCAAATTAGTTTATAACCAAAAATTATAATTCTAAACATTTTTTTTTACATTTATATTTTATTTTTTTTATATTATTATTTTTTATTTTTTATTTTTTTTTACATACTGTCACCCTAGCAGTAGTGTCACCATGGTGACACTGTACTACTTGTGGGGGGTGATGAAGATTTTTTTTTTTTTTTTTTTTTTTACACTGATTGCTTTTACACCCATATAGGATGTAAAAGCAATCATTTCTCCTTCTCTCTGTCTGCATTCTTGCAGTCATTGAGAAATACTGAGTGAGCTGTGATTGGTCACAGCTTGTCACATGGTACAAGGCTGTTGTGAATAACCTTGTACCATGTGACCTCTGTGATCATTCACAGATTTCACACGTAGTAAGCAATGATGTCACAAGTGACATCTTGCTTACTACTTTGCATGTGATCACTGATTCGCCAATCAGGGATCACATGACCGGGACCTCGTACAGAGGTCCTGTCCAACGATCGGTGTTTCACTGTGTCCGGAGGACACAGCGGACACCGGATCGCGGTGGTGCGCGCTCCTAGGGAGCGCGCACAGCTAGAAAAGGCGGGTGCCGTTTAGGAACGGCAACCCGCCCCTGGACTGCCACCGCCCTGCCGTTTATAAACAGCAGGCGGACGGCAAGAGGTTAAGCACTGATAAGCATAGTTACAGTTGCAAGAAAAGTATGTGAACCCCTTGGGATTACGTGGAGTTTTGCATGATTTGGGCATAAAATGTGCTCTGAACGTCATCTAAGTCACAACAATAGAAGAACACAGTCTGCTGAACATAATACTACACAAACATTAGATGTTGCAATGGTTTAATTGCACATAACATGTAAACATTCACAGTGCAGGGAGGAAAAAGTATGTGAACCTTTGGACTTATTAACTGGTTGACCCTCCTTTGGCAGCAATAACCTCAACCAAACGTTTCCTGTAGTTGCAGATCAGACCTGCACAACGATCTGGAGTAATTTTGGACCACTCCTCTTCACAAAACTTCAGTGTAGCAATATTCTTGGGATGTCTGGTGTGAATCGCTCTCTTAAGGTCATGCCACAGCATTTCAATTGGGTTGAGGTCAGGACTCTGACTGGGCCGCTCCAGAAGGCATATTCTGTGCTGTTGCAGCCATTGTTTTGTTGAATTACTTGTATGCTTTGGGTCATTGTCCTGTTGCATCACCCATCCTCTGCGGAGCTTCAGTTGGCAGACAGATGGTTGTACGTTTTCCTGCAAAATGTCTTGATAAACTCTGGAATTCATTTTCCCATCAATGACAACAATCCATCCAGGCCCTGAGGCAGCAAAGCAGCCCAAAACCATGATGCTCCCTCCACCATGTTTTACAGTGGGGATGAGGTTTTGATGTTGATGTGCTGTGCCTTTTTTCTCCACACATAGTGTTGTGTGTTCTTCCCAAACAACTCAATCTTGGTTTCTTCTGTCCACAGTATATTTTGCCAGTAGTGCTGTGGAACATCCAGGTGCTCTTTTGCAAACTTCAAACGTGCTGCAATATTCTTTTTGGACAGCAATGGCTTCCTCCGTGGTGTCCTCCCATGTACTCCATTCTTGTTTAATGTTTTCCTTATTGTTGATGTGTCAACAAAAATGTTAGCATGTGCCAGAGATTTCTGTAGGTCTTTAGCTGACACTCTGGGATTCTTCTTTACTTCATGCAGCATTCTGCGCTGTGCTCTTGCAGTCATTTTTACAGGACGACCACGCCTAGGGAGAGTAGCAACAGTGCTAAACTTTTGCCATTTGTAGACAGTCTCTCTTACTGTGGACACATGAACATCAAGGCTTTTGGAGATACTTTTGTAACCCTTTCCAGCTTCATGCAAGTCAACAATTCTTGATCGTAGGTCTTCTGAGAGCTCTTTTCTGCGAGACATGGTTCACATCAGACAGTGCTTCTTGAAACCAGTAAACCCAAAACAGGTGTGTGTTTTTTAAGGGCAGGACAGCTGTCAGCAACACATACAATATCATCACACTGATTGGAGTCAAGGTTGGCTCACTCCTGGCTCCAGTTAGCTCTTGGGAGAAGTCATTAAGCTAGGGCCTCACATACTTTTTCCTCCCTGCACTGTGAATGTTTACATGTTATGTGCAATTAAACCATGGCAACATCTAATGTTTGTGTAGTATTATGTTCAGCAGACTGTGTTCTTCTATTGTTGTGACCTAGATGACGTTCAGAGCACATTTTATGCCCAATTCATGCAAAACTCCACGTAATCCCAAGGGGTTCACATACTTTTTCTTGCAACTGTAAAATTTGTAAGTAGGACCCTGAAACTTACTGACACATGCAACCTGAGTTATTCTACTAACAGTTCATACATGCTATCTAATTGACAGTTATGAATATGTGACTCGGACAACATATTTTTCATATTAGCAATGAGTTTATCAATTTACATGTTTAAACTTTTCTTCTATTTTTGGCCGCAAATGGGCAGTGTTGTCATATATTGTGGGATCACCCATCATTCGTAGTTTTTTCTATTGCTTGCCTACTTTGTTTGCTGTATGCAAGCATTATTCTAAGAACATTTCATATATGCTAACTAGTTTACAGTTATGAATATGTGACTTGGCTAACACATATTTTCCAAATTAGCAATGAGTTAATCAAATTACAGGTTTATACTTGTGTTCAATTTTTGACCTCAGATGGGGAGTGTCGTCATGTATGGTGAGAGACAAAAGAGGGGAGGGGAAGAGAAACGCAACAACCATAGTGTTTCTTGTAAAGTGTAATTTTACTAAAAAATGTAAAAAAGCACTGACAAAGTTAAAAAGGAGATCTAGCAGGCAATTAGGATGCCTTGCCTTGCTTTGGCCACCAGCAAGGGAGCAGAGATGGAATGGAAGCAGGGAACCGCTGTCACAGCCAAAGCTGTGGATGGAACGCAGGGCCCAGGATTTGAAGCCACCTTATGTTGTTGGAAAATGCTAGAACTTGAACAGAAAAGCATTTCAAAGCAACCTTACTTCTTCCACATTATCTAGCTTCCATAAGCTTCATTTGTCAAATTGTTTCAAATTGTATCATACATTTTCATATATTTTCACATTGTTTTAAATTGATTCACATTGTGAACTTACATATAGCTCATCAGGGCACTGATTTCTAACCAGCACATGTATATATACACCAAAAGTATTGGGACGCCTGCCTTTACACACACACAAATTTTAATGGCATCCCAGTGTTAGTCCGTAGGATTCAATATCGAGTTGGCCCACCCTTTGCAGCTATAACACCATCAACTCTTCTGGGAAGGCTGTTCATAAGGTTTAGGAGTGTGTCTATGGGAATGTTTGACCATTTTTCCAGAAGCGGATTTGTGAGGTCCGGCACTGATGTCGGGCAAGAAGGCTTGGCTCACAGTCTCCACTTTAATTCATCCTGAAGGTGTTCTATTAGGTTGAGGTGCAGGCCAGTCAAGTTCCTCCACTCCAGACTTGCTCATCCATGTCTTTATGGACCTTGTTTTGTGCAAGTCATGTTGGAACAGGAAGGGGCCATTCCCAAACTGTTTCCACAAAGTTTGGAGCATGAAATTGTCCAAAATGTCTTGGCATGCTGACACCTTAGGAGTTCCCTTCACTGGAACTAAGGGGCCAAGCCCAACCCCTGAAAAAAAACCCCCACCATAATCCCCCTTCCAACAAAACTTTACACTTGGCACAATGCAGTCAGACAAGTACCGTTCTCCTGGCAAGTGCCAAACCTAGACATATCCATCGGATTGCCAGACAGAGAAGCATGATTCATCATAGAGAACACTTCTCCACTGCTCTATAGTCCAGTGATGGCATGCTTTACACCCCTGCATCCAACGCTTTGCATTGCACTTAGTGATGTAAGGCTTGGATGCAGATGCTCGGCCATGGAAACCCATTCCATTAAGTTCACCACACATTTTTGTTGTGCTAATCTGAAGGCCACATGAAGTTTGGAGGTCTTTAACTATTGAATCTGCAGACAGTTGGCGACTTCTGCGCACTGTGCTCTTCAGTATGCGCTGACCCCACTCTGTCATTTTACGTGGCCTACCACTTGGTGGCTGACTTGCTGTTATTCCTAGTTGCTTTCACTTTGTCATAATACCACTAACAGTTGACCGTGGAATATTTAGTAGCAAGGAACTTTCACAGACGGACTTATTGCACAGGTGACAACCTATCACGCTTGAATTCACTGAGATCCTGAGAGAGACACATCTTTCACAAATGTTTATAGAAGTTGTCTGCATGCCTAGGTGCTTGATTTAATACACCTGTAGCCATGGAGGTGAATGGAACATCTGAATCGAATGATTTGGAGGGGTGTCCCAATACTTTTGGCAATATATATTCTGGTCATTCTTTGCATTAGACCACTGGGGGCGGTTTCAGTCCAAGGAGTTGGTGCGCTGTAATTATTCTGGATGTTCACACCTTTGATCTTTTGTCATGTTAGTTTGTCCAGTAAGCCTCTCTTGTTTTTCTGCCCTTTTATAAAACCAAGCAGGATGATGTCTTAGGGCAGTGATGGCAAACCTATGGCACGCGTGCCAGAGGTGGCACGCAGAGCCATCTCAGTGGGCACGCCAGGAAGAAGAGGAAGAACACGCTCTCCTGCGCACCCCCAGGGGTGCGCACCGGGCGATCTCCGTGATCGCTGTGTCCTACAGACACAGCTGATCACGTGACGTGGTAAAAGGCCAATCACAGCGGCCTTTTACCACGTGATCAGCCGTGTCCAATAACACGCTGATCACCGGGAAATGCAAATGCCGGTTCTCGGCTGCACTTTCCTCACACTGTCAGATCGTGAGGAAAGTACTGCCGAAAACCGGCAGTTATCAGAGCAGGGAACGGCACAGATCATCAGGGTCACTGATCATCAGTACCCTGATGATCGGTGCCCAGCAATGCCACACACAAGTTCCGCCCACCTGTGCCCAGCAATGCACCCACCCGTGCCCAGCAGTGTGCCCACCTGTGCCCAGCAATGCACCCACCTGTGCCCACCTGTGCCGACCACCTGTGCCCAGAAGTGCCACCCACCTGTGCCAACCCACCTGTGCCCACCAGTGCCACCCACCTGTGCCCACCAGTGCCACCCACCAGTGCCCATCAGTGCAGCCCAGCAGTGCTGCCAGTCAGTGCCACCAGTAAGTGCCCAGCGGTTGTGCCAGTCAGTGCCCAGCAGTGATGTCAGTCAGTGCCACCTATCAGTGCTGTCTATCAGTACCCATTATCAGTGTCGCCTATCAGTGCCACCAATCAGTGCCGCATATCAGTGCCACCTATCAGTGACACCTCATTAGTGCTGCCCATCAGTGCCACCCATCAATGATGTCCAGCAGTGCCGCCGGTCAGTGCAGTCTGTCAGTGCCTCCAGTTGGTGCTATCAGTCAGTGCCGCTTATCAGTGCCCATCATTTCCTGCATATCAGTGCCTCCTCATCAATGCTCACCAGTGCCGCCTCATCAGTGCTACCTATCTGTGGTAGATGTCATAAAAATAACTTACAAAGTGTTTGCTGGCTGATTCACATCACACATTCAATGGTTTACATGGGAATACTATAGGTCCCTGTGGCCATCTGAACTTTGGTGGTGATGCACAATGCTAGTGCTTAGTATTCCTCAGAGCATTTACATAGCTTTGATGCCAAAAGGAAGTTGAAAGAAAAATGTTTTATAAGACTGAGCAGAATATAAACACTTCTGCCTATTTTGCTCACCTTTCTGTTCCCATAGTTCATACTAGCTCCCTATGTGTACCTGTGTTTGTACAACACTATTAAAAAATCACTGACGCAACATACTTCTGCCATCACTAGCCATAGCACCAACAGCTACTACAGTTTACTGCACATGATAACCAATAATTTTAGAGCTGCAACACCAGGCTGACACACTAGACCAAAGGTTGTTCCTTAAAATGCTGATCACATCTCATCTGCAGTGCCCATAGTTCTAGATAAATGAAACCATGACTCCTTGGATAATTGGGTCTGGAAACTGGACTTGAAAAGTGATCAATTTGCCATCAATAGATCTCTTGCTCAACTTCCAGCGTTCTTTCTGAAAGAGTAATTAGAATGGTAGATACCATCATCTTTCCCACCCAAACCTGTTTGCTGCATGTGTTTTAGAGAATTTAGCAAAGTGAATCAATTGGCTTTAATAAGAGAGCAGTTTCACTGACCTATTCTTGATACTACTAAATTAAAAGATCCAGAGGAAAAATTGTAGGAGCCAGATGGAAAGTTGTTGTCCAAACAGTGACTGCAGGCAGTCATATCCACTCATTGATTGGGTATTCAGACAGTCACAGGTACAGTGACAGTGGAGATTTCTCCACTCACACTGTTTAGCTTGGATGGGGAAATCAAGTATGGTGTTAGACATTCTACCATCTACTTATTGCTGTTGGTCATGTAATTCTGAAGGTACAGTATATATATATATATATATATATATATATATATATATATAAAATGAAAAAATACAATCAAATCAGTAGTGGAGCGCATTTCTACATTCCCCATAATTAAGAAGAAAAGGAAACTGATAACTAAGCATCTCCTCTGTCCTTACTTCAGGTTGACTGGCAGCTTAACATTTGTTTGTCACACTTTTATCAAACAATAATTTCTAGAACCCTCTACTACCGTATCTACTGGAAGCCATCAATATCCTTCTGGGTATATATCCAGATCTATTATAATTTGTAATAATAATAATAATAATAGCTACTTGATTGAATTGGCTCCTATTTCTACTCATTCTCTAAGTGTTGTCAGATTCTTACAGCTTCTACATCCTTTGAGAGCTCTGTGTGCTCAGTTCAACAATCCCAATTCCCATTATACACTTGTAAAATTCTTAAGCACCAAAGGCCTGTTGATCCAATTACCATATACTGTACTTCTAACATTTTATTCTATCAAAATCGTAAGCACAAGATTAAAGAAAAAATGTTAAATATAAGCAAGGTTGTAGTATTGCAAAACACAAAAATCTGCCAACAAATAAGCTTTTTTAAAAGTTTTTCTTTTTAAAATCAAATTGCTATTGGCAAGTGGTCAATAGTGGAAAATCTGAGGTTCTGGTACCATAGTTATAAATCTATGCCACTACAGCTGAAAATTGTATAGAAGCCACATGGAGCCCAAGCAGTGCTCAACATCTCTCTGTAGGTGGACACTGCACAACATGAATTTATATTGCATAGCATTGTTAATCCAGACAGGTGTGGCAATAATATAATCACTTAGTGCCCATTTGGGACTTTGCGGTGGTTAAATAATGTATACCGTGCATTGTGTTAAAGAATATGTAAATCCAGCATTTCATATTGCTGATATGTGCCTGTGGTACCATGTGCTTGTATGAACATGTTTCCTGTTCTCTTTATATTGCTTCCTTTGTGTGAAATCCCTGGTGTTCCTGACAGTCCCCATGCTTTCCCATTAAAAACTGACCATACTATGCATGAGAGCACAGCATAGCCAGTTCTCTAGCTGCCTTAAAACTCAGCAAGCTCTCCTCCAATGATCAAACTTGTACTGACACCCCCCCCCCCCAACCATTCACTGGGAAGATCAGTATATGCTGTTTCTCCTCCCAAGCTATCTAAGCACCTTATGCAGCTGAGAACAGAGGGTATGTGATCACTTATAAAAAGGGTAAAAAAAGGTATTTAGAATAGTTTTTATATCTATACCCAAGTGTTTTACCTCTCATTTCTATTTTAAACTGAATGGGTTGGTTTACAAGGTGAGACTTTACATTTACTTTAAGGCACCAAAACCAAATCTGAAGAATATATTTAAAAATATATATTTTTACAACTATTCTTCAGATTTTTATTAACATATAAAAAAAGTCATTTTAACATATATTTTTACATATATTATATTTGAAAATGTTTTTTTAAAAATATTTTTCATATATTTTGTAATAAAAACGCATTTCAACATACAGTATATATATATATTTTAAAATATATATTGAATATGGCCAAGATTATAGTATTTCAAATATATGTCAATATATTTGGGAAGAATATTTTTAAAATATATTTCAAATGTATTTTTCTTCCATGTGGGTAATAAAAGCCCCTATCATCCTTCATTCTAAAAAAAGGAAACAGGTGCATCCTGGGATCTCAGACTCCATTTTAAGAAAGGAGGTAGAGGAAATCAGCTATCATCCCTGAAGCACATGTTGTGGACTGAACTTACATCCCCTACAGCAGCATCGATGGTGAGCATGGACTTATTGCCATCTGAAGCCTAATAATTTCATTGTGTTTTGTATGTTTCATACATTGATTGTATGTATTTCTCATCTGTTTTTCCCAATAGTCGCACCCCACCCTGTCTTGTTAATAAAGCTTCAAAATTACATTCAGTATGGCTGATTGCAGAATAGGAGGGTTTAGCTGCATGTCGAATTACACACCGTAAACGTGTAGCAAGGGCAGAACAATATCTATGAACCAGGATAGGAAACTACTTTTGAATTTAGTGGCGCCATAGCGCTACTTTGTAAAAGTGGTACTATTAAGGACTACCTGAACCTGCCAAACATGTCAATAAAGCTACAGAAACTGTCAACAGGGATATTTTTAATCTAAAAAAAGGATATTTCAAAGGGGCCATACTGCCAGGAAAGTGTTATAAATGCTTTATTGAATTCCATTCTTTCTCCTTGGTTTGGTGAAGTATTTTCAGCAAGAGTATATAATATGAGTTAGTATACCAATGTTTATTTTTTTTATATGAAATTCACATTATAGCAAGCCTTGTCTCCCATATTTTATAATAAATATAGATTTGTAGAGTAACCATTAAAGGGAGCACTCAGTGAAATTTCAATGAGCTGGTGGGCCTCCTATACGTGCATATGTGAGAAGGCGCAGATAAGTACAATCATTGTGTTGCACTGCAAATCGGCATATGTCATGAACAAATATGGATGCCTTTATGTACATATATAAGTTATATATAGAAACAGAGGTAACTAGAAAAGCTACAATTTCTGGGGAAATTTTGCGAAGTGTTCTTGACTCCACCAGTAGTCTACAATTGGAGTGGGCAGAGTAACTGGGTGGAGTGGCTTGAGTATCTATTGTGAGGTTAGAGTGGCTGGAGTAACTGAAAAGGTCAATGGGCAGCATGAGTTGCAAGCAAATGGAGCAGGGATAGCTGAACGTTTTGATATACGATTTGTGTAGGTGGGCTTGAAAATGAAGGAGTGATGGCAGTTTAGAAATCATGTCCTGATTTTTCAGCTCACACTTTAGCTTTTGTCAGCTCCCACTCTAGTTTTGAACATTCTGCCATTCATTCCTATGGGACCAATTTCACCACAAAAACACCGATATTTCGTGAACCATTCGGCAAAACGTTCCACAAAGTAATAGCACACCAATCGGGAACAATCTGCACGTTTCGATATATTACTGTCTATGTAGTGTAAAAACTGTGGGAGGAATTAGGGTGGTAAATTTGGCTATAATAATAAGAATATATATGTGAGATAACAGTATGTGGTCTTGCCATGCAAATTAAAACATTAAGGCCTTCTTCACACCAAGCCCTTTCATTGCAGTACATTGATGTGTGATATGTCATGTGTTAAGGTGGGGCACAATAAAGTAGCCCTTTCATTTGAATTGGTAACAAAAGAAAAATAGTTCAGCACTTTTTTTTAACATAGTGCCCCATTTATGTTATTATGCTTTGTGAGATACAGTAAGTTTTGAACATTCTTCTATTTCAGTTGATTGTTATTTCTCACCTACGATGAGGTCTGAACTTTGACTTGGCCATTCCAGAATATATATTTTCTTCCTTTTAAGTCTAAGTGTAGCCAAAAAAAAACAACAGGAAAACCAGCACGAGGGACATAATGTATAGCCACTAGGATGTGTCCCTTGTGCTGATGCCTCCTTTTTTAGGTGAAATCATTCTCCGTCCATGCACCCCTAACACCTAAATACAATGTAAAAATATTGTTGGAGTTTTTTGTTAAATAAGACTTAATTTGAAGAAAAGATCAGACCCCAATTTAAAATGCATTTACTGTAAGATGAAATCCAGGCATTTCCAAAGGCTTCACAGAGTTTCTACTTATTTATAGGTTATATACTTGCTAAATATACATATATAATAATACACATTAAAATTTACAAGTGCTTCATGGTCTTATGATTTTGCAAGGGAATAAAATGTATTTTTTCTTGTGA